ATGCGCTTGCTCAAGCTGAGGTATAGGTATGGAGAAAAGAGAAAAGAAGAGAAAAACAATGAGTATACTTGAGAAAATTATGCAATATTTTAAAAACTAATTGAAATTGCTAATTCAAGTGAATATAAAGAAAATTTTTATAAGAAAGCTGCGTGGTATTACATATTTACAGCGTATTGCATAAGTACATGTAATGGTACTACAAGTGCTAAATTCATTCACAATAAATAATGAGCATCTCACTTTACCGATTAAAGATTGTACGTACGTTTTTAATAACTGAAGCAATAAATAGACTCGTTAAATTTTTTATTTTATTTCAAAAATAATGAGGTTTACACCAAATATATTCTTAATCAATGACCTAAAGAGGCCTCTTTTTTAGCTTTCCAAATAAAGTTTAAATGCTTGAAAAGCAACTGTGATCTATGGAAGAGTACAAGATCTTAGTTCATCTATTTTAGTGACACAAAAAAAATTAGACCTCTGTCGTCAACATAATTAGTTTACCATTGTTACTTTCTAATGTAATCCTTTTTCTGCTCCTAGACTCTCTCGCAACACAAAAAATGATTGCAATTTTCTTGCCCATTATTTACTAGAAATTTACTTTCGCAATTTGTCAAGTAAGCTTGCCTTTTAAGCTACTTTCAGATTATGGCTTAAAATTAAATTTTTTTTATATTAGGTTGTGTTAGTGGTCTCTCTACTCAACCCAATTTCTTTACCAAAATCAATGGGTATATTTATGAAATTATATTGAACACTTTTATGAGCATTATAGAAGATTATGTCTACGAGTGTGTGTCATTTCACATATTAATTGTTAAATACATTATATCAAGATAAATTAGTTAAGGCTCGACATAGAAGTAAATAATGAGCCACAGAGATATGCGTAAAGAAGGAAATAAATGTATAAAGGCTTATACTCAAATAATAAGATTAAAAAACAAACAAAAAATAACAGAGTTGAAGAGTCGTAAGTAAACAAACCCTGAATATGAAGGAATACATAATAGGAGTAAAAATCTCATATAATGCGGTTAATACCAAAGCAAATACTTATTAAGAAATGGTCATGAATACTATAGCAAAATTGTTAAAATTTTTAGCACAATAACCTAATTCATAGTTTTTCACATTACCATGAAATTATGTTGTACAAAACATATACAAACAGAACACCGGTGGAACTTAACTTCAAAAATTATCAAAGTACTAATGTGTAACCTTTTCCTGGCCAATTACTTATTTTAATGTTAAATACCTATTGTGATGTATACCTAAATAATAAATTTATGGCTTCAATTTTGTTACGTAATTTTTCATCTCGTAATACGACAAGTCAGAAAACAAAACTATTTTTTTAATTATTATTAAATTCTTCTAATTTCCTGATTCAACGTAAAGATCTCAATAAGCTAGTATAAGTATCATTAATAAACTATGAAGAAAAAATCTAAGATGGTTGCGACAAAGCTACCGATAATTTTTGGTATGAGTCAATGAATGACCACATAAAAATTGTTAATTTTAAATTTTTTTGTCGTACTTTCTCACAACCCTCTTATTGGATAAATTATGTATTCATAAAATTACAATTTTTTAAATTTTCTTCCACATCTACTACGCTTTTCCGCAATAACCTAAGGTATTAGTTAAGGTAGGAGGAAGTTATGCTTGGCTACTCTAATAACTTGGGTTGTTTGAAATCCCTATGCCCGAACTAAAAATTAGGTTTTAAAACAGGAGTTAAAACACCTTGGGATCAGTTAACACAATGTCTTAGGTAAAATTAGCTTCAGTTAGCTTATAACAATCGTTTAAAATAATGAGAGGATCACTTAGTAAAGTGTAGGTCTTCGAAGTCTTAAGTGGACAAACCTCTTTTCTTTTCCTTATAGTTCTACCATAATGAGCCTACGAAATAAGTAGAAAGGATAGCTTCCATTTAAATTTATGAAAAACCATTTTTTTGTTTTCGTAACAGAAATATACATTGGAGTTTAGAGAAAAAAAAAAAAAAAAAAATGCTNGAATTTCAGGTAATTTTGTAGGACGGTCACGGGTCAGCAATGAGCAGCGTAAAACATCTCGTAGACATGGACCCAAAAACAACTATAAAATATAGGGAGATATATATGCGCTGTTAAGGCTTTACCCTTTTTTATGTTATAAAAATTATACTTGCATAAAAAATGTGTTTGTGCAATATAAAACAGTTCTTTCTCGGAATAAGTGCAATAATAAGAAACAGTTTGCATGTATCTCTCATTTTTATCACTTTTTTGATCCTAGTATTCCTTTTATAATAGTATAAGGAGCTTTTTTCGATCGAATTCTTCCCCTACACCTAGTCCATCTTCCTATCTAAAACAAATCAATTTATTCACATTAAAAACGTTTCCAAGGAAATTACATCCTCTATTAGTATTATTTACATACTCTATTGCATTTTTAGCAATCACAAGACAAACATTATCAATGTAAAAAACATTTATTACAACTTTAGCTAATAATTAGAACGTGTCAGAACTTCCACCTTAATTCCATGAAGATACACAAAAAACATTCAAAATTATGGTTATGTCTTGATATCAACCAACACCTCACTATTTGTGCGCAATGATGATACATTAACCATTAACAGACACCATAAAGATTATTATTCTTTGTCGAAGTGGCTTCCTAAAGATATCGCAAAGTTTCAAACATTTAAGGTTGAATTATAATGAAAGCTTGTTAATTATATACATTGGGTGAACTGAAACTTTAAAGTTAAGCATCGCGTGGAGCAGATCTATTAAAGAATCGGTAATCGCTCAACTTACTGATCACCGTATAATTCCATTATATATATA